AAATTTGAGCAGGGTAGGAATAAGAGGGGAATGAGAAAAGCTATAGAAATGCAGGCTAGGAAATCTCAGAAAGCAAGCTGCCATACTTCAGAACACCATCTGAAGAAGCTCTGGGTAGTCAGAAAAGCTATCTGAACCAAGCTACCTTCTGATAACTTTGGAAAGATAAATTCACACAAAAATAAGCTAATTTTAAAAAGAGTCTCAAAATGACTGTAAGAAAAGGAAGGCACAGAATAACACCCTTATAGGCAATACAAGAATACTAGAGAAGTGCCAAAGACAAACTGTTAATATACTATTCCAAAATGAGATAAAGGACATTAAGAAAATACAACATGAAACATCAGAAATCAGAACTTAAACTAAAAAATAAGAGTAACAGAAATCAAGAAAAAATTAGAAATAAAAGAAAAATTGCTTTAAGAAATGAAGTCTAGGGCCAGGGATTTAGCTCAGTGGTTCTGATGCTGGCCTCACAAGCACAAAGTCCCAAGTTTGATCCCCGGTACCAAAAAAAGAGAAAGAAATGAAGTCTAACCAAGAAAGAACATAAAAGCAAATAAACACAACAATATGCCCAAGAGACAGCTCTCTCCTCCAGCTGCCTGAGATGCTGAAAGGAAAGAAGGCCAAGGGGAAGAAGGGAGCCCCAGCCCTACCTGTCGTGAAGAAGGAGGTGGCCAATGCCGTAAATCCTCCATTTGAGAGGATATCTAAACAGTCTGGCACTGGACAGGACATCCAGCCCAAAAGGGATCTCACCCGTTCTGTCAAACAGTCCTGCTACACATGGTTGCAGCAGCAAAGCGATATTCTCTATAACCACCAAAAGTGCTACCTACTATAAACCAGTGCACCCAGGCCTAATCTGCCAAAAGCTACCCAACTGCTTCCTCAAGCTGACCCCTGAAACCACAGCGGAGACAAATAAGAGAGGCAAGAGAAATTGCCTGGCTTCAGCTAAAGAGCAAGCTGCCAGTAAAAAAAGTCTCCACTATGAAATCACATTTTGTTTGAGCAAGGGTTAATAGTGTCGTCACTTTGGTGGAAAACAAGCCCAGCCAGTGGGGACTGGACATGACATGGATCCCACTGATCTGGTTTGTCTTCCTGTCTGACCTGTGTTGTAAGGTGGATGTTTCCCAGCCACTTTATCAAGGGCAAGGCCAGACAGCACTGTCTGGTCCACAAGAAGACCCACACCAAGGCTGCCTTCACATGGGTCAGCCTGGAAACAAGGGAGCGCTGGCCAACCTGGTGGAAGCTATCAGGACCAACTGCAATGACAGATCCGCTGTTGCTGGGGAGGAAATGTCTATTCCCAAATCTGTGTCTCAAATTGCCCAGCTGGAAAAGGCAAAGGCTACAGAACTTCCCACTAAGCTAGACTAAATGTACACTGTTAAGTCTATACATATAAGTAATAAAAATTCCCCTCCAAAAAATAAGAGGTAAAAGAAAAAAAACCAAACTCTAAAACAATGAAGAGTTTTAGAAAAGGACAAATTTGAAGACAAAGTATATAGATAACAGAAGTCCCCGAGGAAGAAACCCAAAGTGAGGGAACAGAACACATACTAAAAACTATAATTTGAGAAAAATTTGCTAAAAAAAAAAGATTTGAAACTATTTATTGAAAAAGCACATCATATATATCAATTCAGTCCTAGTACGGGGGGGAGGGATATATATATATATATATATATATATATATATATATATATACATACACACACACACATATACACATACGTGTGTATGTGTGTGTGTATCACTCTGAATGGCCAATAATATTCTGATAAAATCAACTACATTTTAACAACAACAACAAAAACTAGGAGTATCTAGTATAGAGTTACATATGGTTAAAAGGGAAAGAAAATTAGATTACTATTTGGCTTTAACAGCAACAGTTTGCCAAAAGAAAAATCAAACAATACCCAGTTGCCCCCCCCCCATATTCATGAGTTCTACATCCAAGGCCTCAATCAATTGCAGATCAAAAATTCAAGGGAAAATTGGCATCCGTGCTGAACAAATGCATATTTTTTATCTTGTCATTATTCCCTAAACAATATAGTATAAGAATTATTTATAAAGCATTTACATTGTACTAGGGATAAGCAATCTACAAGTGATTTGAAGACGACTTCCAAATCTGCTTCAGAAAGCGGCAAGAACACTGGGATAAGTGGGTTCCAAAGGAGGGGGAGTATTCTGAGGGGGTTTCATGGAACTGTATCTTGTACCGCAACAATTTCTAGCTAGGCATGGTGGCGCACACCTGTGATCGCAGCACTCTAGGAGGCTGAGGCAGGAGGATCACATGTTCAAGTCCAGCCTCGGCAATTAGTGACCTAGCAAGACCCTGTCTCAAAAAATAGAAAGGGAGTGGGCATGTAGCTCAGTGCGAAGGCACTGGGTTCAATTCCCAGTACCAATCAATCAATCAATAATTTAATTTAATAATTTCATATCATTTTTGACCCATAATGAATTACTGCATCTGGGCATTAAGTACCAATAGCTGCACCAGAAACAATAAAACAAAAACTGTGTGTCACTCACCTCCTAATAGAAGAACCTAACACTAGCAATAGTCTTGCCCAAGAGACTGAAGCTAAATCCCACACCTCGGGATCCAGCTGTCAGTTTGCAGGAAACAGACAAAGAGCACAGTGGACACCATAGGGCACAGAGAGCCAAAAAGACAGGCCAAGGGAGAAAACACTGTCAGGATGGAACAGGAACTTAGAGAAACTTAAAAGAGGACATAGTAAGTTTTTTTAACTGGTAGGACTACGTTAATAGTCTCTTGGTTGATGAATGCCTTCCAGAGAGGAAAGGAAGTGAGTGTCCTAACAGCTGGGACAGCAGCTGTTAGGAGGGGGGCTGTGATAGCAATGAGGCATAGAGAGCAAGCATCCGAGTACACAGGTGAGGAAGTTCTAGGTCTTGACATGGGGCTGTTACAGAGTGTTACTCAACTCACACGGTTCACTTTGTCACTTGAACCATTTAAGTCTTTGGTGTGCTTTTCTGTGTTTTACAGTATAAAGACTTGTGTTTTGGGGTTTTTTCTTGCAGTACCAGGGATTGAATGGGCTGGGGGTCAGGGTTGGGGGGGTGCGTGGGGATTCTACCACTAAACTACATTCCCTTTTTATTTTTTTATTTTGAGACAAAGTTTTGCTAAGTTGACCAGGTAGGACTCAAACTTGTGATTCTCCTGCTTCACCCTCCTTCAGTGCTGAGATTAAGGGCATACACCACCATGCCATTTTTGCTGCTGTTATATTTTTAAAGGAAGTCTGTAGTCAGGGAGAGAACAAGGTAGGTTAAACCTGCCTCTTCAAAAGCAACTAAGACTCTGAGTTCAAGAATCTAGCATGGGGTCTAAATGATGTTCCTTTCCTTTAGCAAAATGTGTCTGTAGCCATTAAAAATATCAGTTTAGCAGGGCACATTGAACAGAACAATTCCTTTTAGCAGCAGCATATTTTTTAATATGCTTTAGCTGCCAAAATTACGAGATCATAGGAGGAGTCATTCTCAGACCATGAGGAAAAGTGGGTAGATGTTTAAACAACACAGTTAGGAATTAATTTGTTTATGTAAAATAATTTCATGAATAGATCATTCCAAACAATGTGTTGGTCCACAGACAACAAAAAAGAATATAAAAGTAGTGTTGCTCGTTACATGTGGTGATGCATGCCTATAATCCCAGTACTCTGGAAGGCTGAGGCAGGATAGCAAGTTAGCCTGGGCAACTACCAAGACCCTGTCTCCAAATAAAAAATTAAAGGGGGGGGGGCGGTTTGGTTAGTTTAGTTCAGCACAAAGGTACTGGGTTCAATCTCCAGTACCACCGGAAAAAAAAAAAAAGTAGTAGTGTCCCCTCCAAGTTTTCTACACTTCATGTGTGAGAATACTTAGAAAATTAGGGGTGAACTTCACTTATCTCTGGGGCAGCAGTGCTCCCCTGAAATCATGTTTTTGTGTAACTTTTACAATATAATTTGGGCAAATATAAAAACTTATCCAAATCAATAATCATTATTTTAAGGTAAAGATAATAGACAAGAACAAGAAGCTTTACATTAAAAAGCACTCTTGAGCTGGGCACACTAGTGCCCACCTGTAGTCCCAGCTACTCAGGAGGCTGAGGCAGATGGATATTTGAGCCCAGGAGTTTGAGGCCAGGCTGGGTAAAATGGCAAGACACCGACTGCCAAAAAAAAAAGTATTCCAAAGTCTGCCTTCATATACACTGTACTTTTGGAATCTAAATGAGGGAAGTTTTTTATTTCTCTTCATAAAAATAGACTTTCATGCCGGGTGTGGTGGTGCATGCCTGGAATCCCAGCACCTGGAAAGCTGAAGCAGGAGGATCGCCGCCCGAGTTTGAGGCCAGCCTGGGCTACATAGTGAGTTCAGGGCCAGCCTGAACTACAAAGGGAGACCCTGCCTCAGAAAATCAAAAAAATAAAACAGACTTTCATAAACAAGGTCCACTGAACAGAAAACACCTTCTGACATTACCTTGGGGATAAACATGTGTTCAAACTTTTACTATCTCAATACCTATTACATATCCCATTTTATCTGCATAACTGTTGGCATCTTACTGCACTGTAACATGAAGTTTGTAACAGCAGTATTTTCTGTCCTTTTGGGGGCATAGGAGGGCAAGTAATCAAACAGCATTCACAGAATTATTAGAAAGTCATTTTAATTTTCCTTAAATCTTCGCACAAAACAACGCTAAACTGTCAATAATCATGTGCACATATATATTCACACAAAATAAGAGCAAAGACAATAGAGTACGGCCTGTTCATAAAAGGGGCTATAAAAGGTTTATCTCTATAGTTAAGCTTTTATGTAGCTAAATCCTTATACAATCCAACAGATAACAGCCAAACTGCTGGAGGGAGTGGGGGGAGAGAAGAGAGGGCTGCAGGCGAGTCTCACTGGCCTGCACACATGCTTACCATAACCGTGCAGTCCTCTGAACCGCTGGCAATGACCTGATCATTGTGCGGGCACCAGTCTATATCCAGCACTGGTCCTGTGTGGCCACATACTGTAGGGTAGGATTTGTCAATTCGACCGGTCTGAAAGAAGAAACAAATCTATTAGCCCATGTCTCCTTTGTTATCTCCCCATAAAACTCTCAACTGTCTACATACGATGTCATTTATGTGTCAGTGTCAGCTCGGAAGAACTGTAAACGTTCATTTCTAGAAGTAGCACCTACCAAGAACACTCCATTAAATTCCAAGGTCCTTTTACCAAAATACAACTCTACCACAGCCAAACTGTAAATCACAGATACGATTCTACTGAGGGGGGAAAGCCAAGCATGGGGGTGCACAGCTGTAATACCAGCCCTCTGGAAGGTTGAGGAAGGACTAAAAATTCAAGACCAGTCTGGCCAATTTAGCAACTTAGACCTTGCCTCGAGAAATTAAAAAACAGACATCTGGCGGCCGGTGTGGCTGCGGTGGCGTCGGGGTCGCAGCTCCCCGGCCGGCCCGGCGCGCGCAGGTGTCCCGACGCCGCCTGCCCCCGCGTGCCCAGACCCTGCGGTCCAGCAGCGCCCACTGCCTGGTTTCCGCTGCCTCCCGCGGACCCTGGCCCCAACCCGGCTTTCTCCTTTCTCTCCTCCAAGAATGAAACATGACTGAAGACTCTCAGAGAGACTTTCGTTCAGTATATTATGAGAAAGTGGGGTTTAGTGGAGTTGAAGAAAAGAAGTCATTGGAAATCCTCCTGAAGGATGACCGTTTGGATATTGAGAAACTTTGTACTTTTAGCCAGAGGTTCCCTTTCCCATCCATGTACCGAGCATTGGGATGGAAGGTGCTTCTAGGGATCCTGCCTCCCCACCATGAGTCTCACACCCAGGTGATGATGTACCGCAAGGATCAATACTGTGACGTCCTTCACGCCCTGAAAGTGATTCGCTTCGTCAGTGATGCCACCCCTCAGGAAGAAGTCTATCTTCGCATGTATCAGCTGGAGTCTGGGAAGTTGCCTCGAAGTCCCTCCTTTCCACTGGAGCCAGAAGATGAAGTCTTTCTTGCCATTGCTAAAGCCATGGAAGAGATGGTGGAAGATAGTGTGGACTGCTACTGGATCATCCGATGCTTTGTGAACCAGTTAAATAACAAGTACCGGGATTCTTTGCCACAGCAGCCAAAGGCTTTGGAACAATACTTGAATCTGGAAGATGGCAGACTGCTGAGTCATCTGAAGTTCTGCTCTGCGGTGTCCAAGCTGCCCTGCGATCTCTGGTTCAAGAGGTGCTTTACGGGATGCCTGGCTGAATCCAGCTTACAGAGGGTTTGGGATAAAGTTGTAAGTGGATCCTGTAAGATCCTAGTTTTTGTAGCTGTGGAAATTTTATTAACTTTTAAAATAAAAGTAATGGCACTGAACAGTGCAGAGAAGATCACAAAGTTCCTGGAAAATATTCCCCAGGACAGCTCGGATGCCATCGTGAGCAAGGCCATCGACTTGGGGCACAAACACTGTGGGACCCCGGTGCATTTGGCCTGACCCCTCCCGGGGGCTGTGGCCAGGCCCCAGGCCTGCCTTGAGCCTTCTGTTCTTGTCAGCTGACCTGCCTCACCGATTGCAGTGGTCTTTTGCTCTGGTGCTCAAAGTGGCATGTTTTTTCCAGTAAAATAATTTAATTTAAAAAAAAAAAAAGAAAAGAAATTAAAAAACAGAGCTGAGGATGTAGCTCAGTGTGAAGGTCCTGAGCTCAATATTCAGTACTCCAACTCTCAAAAAAGCCCTTTGGTATTACTCAAAATGTGAAATTAAAAAAAAAATTTTTTAGCTATTGTTTAGGGGCTAAAGGGCATACATTTTTACTGTCTCAGTCTCTCCGCTGTCTTCAACTAACAGCAATGCCACCAAACAGTTTAATTAACAATTTTCACCTTACCTGTTATCCAGTTCACATCTCATTAAGGATAAAATGTTCAATGCTGGTCATAGTCACCACAATTTGCTCATGTTACACATTCAAATCTAACATGTCAACCAGGCTTTTCTGTTTAGTTTTTATTTTTGTTTTTTTTTGGTACCGGGAATCAAATTCAGGACCTTGCACTTGCCAGGCAGACATGATGTCACTGAACTAAAGCCCTGGATCAGTTTTTGCTTTTTGAGTCAGGGTCTCACTCTGTAATTCTGGCCTTGAACTAGCTATGTACCCCAGACTGGCCTGCACTTGCAGCAATCCTCCTTCCTCAGCCTCCCCAGGGCTGGGATTATAGGTATGCACTGCCACACCTGGTTGAACCAGACTTATCACACCAATCTTGTGTCAAGCAGGACAACTGCTGTAGCGACAGGTATATATTATATAAAAGTGGTTTTATTTTCTTTAAACAGGTTAATGTCAATACATGCTGGCATTGCACATGCTCTAAAAGTAGGTGCACAAAACGGAATCACTGCACTGTGTAAATGAATTCAATTGTTGTTGTTGCTCTCTTGCCATGGCAAGTTGTCCCAACACTGGGACAGGCTTCTTAGCAATTTTTAAGGATCAATAAACCGATTTCTCCAATTTGACTTTACTGCGGAAATACCCAGAGAACCAATGTGCTAACACACCAAGACCTTAGGCTTTGGAGTCAGATAGGTATGGGATCTAATCCAGGCTCTAGTACTTAAAACACTGGTTGACCTTAGGCAAGTCAATTTATCTCCTTAAGCTCCAGCTCACCATCTGTAAAACAGGTAACAATAATACAACTACCAGGATTATGGAGAGATTAAATGAGAATGTGTTTAGGTAAATTATAACTCAATATTATAATTATTTGTGAAGTATATAAAAAATTTAATTATAGTATCTGGACTATAATAAATATGCAATACTTATTATGAGTTCTTTTAACATAATATTTATATTACTCCATCATTAAGAAATAATGAAATGGGCCAGGGATTTAGCTCAGTGGCTCCAGGCCTGCCTGGCAAGCACAAGGTCCTGAGATCAATTCCCGGTACCAACAAACAAAAAAAGAAAGAATGAATACATATGATTTATGAACTTCTATGGGCCAGACCCACTGCTCAACGCAGGAGATGCAGATGTGATCAGGACAGAGACATTTAAATAGCTGTTTACAGTGCAGCATGAGATATGGTCCATTTGGACAGGCACAAGGTAGAGAAACAGAACATTCAGCCAGGCTCATGGGGCGGCGGGGGGGCATCCCAAGTCTTAGGAAATTTTCTCCTGAGAAGGACAAGGTCTAAATTGAGACTTGAAGATGGCCCTATTCACAGACCTAATAAGGACTATGCTTCTTCACATCTTCACCCTTTCCCTTCAAAATTCATCAAACCCAGGGGCTGGGGATGTAGCTCAGTAGTACAGCACTTGCCTAGCATGCTTACAGGCCCTGGGCTCCATCCCTAGTGCAGAAAAGAAGAACAAAAAATAAAAACCAAAACAACAACAACAACAAAAAACTATAAAGAAATACGAATTAACACCATATTATATAGAATCTGAGTGTCATAAAAAGAACTATTTAGGTATTAACAGGCAGCAAGCAAAGTACAAATAGTTGAAATCCAGACTTCCCAGGCTCTGCCACTTTGTGGCTGTGAGTTTTTGGCCAATTTACTACAGCCCACAAGTTCACTTCCAAATCTGTAATAACAGTTCATTCTTTTTTTGTTTTTTTTGGTACCGGGGATCGAACTCGGGTCCTTGCACTTGCACAGCAGGCGGCGAAACCACTGAACTAAATCCCCGGCCCATAACAGTTCATTCTTTAAGAGCTGATGTAGATGGGCATGGTGGCTCATCATTCTATAAAACTGTAATCAGCACTTGTGGGGCTGAAGCATGAGGATCCCAAGTTCGAGGCCTGTCTATGCCAAATAGTGAGTTCAAGGCCAGTTTGGACTTCATGGTAAGACCCTGTCTCAAAAAAATCAGAAAGAATTCATGTGAGGACTAAATGAGACAAAGTAAAGAACTTACTATTTCTGTACTTGAAGCGCTCAACCAATATTATCCAAAATTTACCAAATACTGGAATCCATTCTGTCGTATCTCTGATCATGTCTCTGCTTAAAGAAGAACAGCTACTAAGCACCTACCTCAGGCAGTTTTACCAAATTCTCTTATTGTATCCCCACAAAAGCCAGTGTAAGATGACTCTCTGACTTGTACCCCTGGTAATATTTATTTGCATAAGCTGATGGCAGCGGACTCATGGGTTTGTTCTGTTTTATATAATTATTTCAGAATTATAATTTCAACTACAGATGTAGTTATTCTTTTGAATGTGTGATATTTTACAATTTAAGATATTCTAAGAATCAGGCCTGACATTCATTTAAACAGATATTCCTAGCCCGGTGTGCTGGCACACACCTGTAATCCCAGCTCTGAGGGAGGCTGAGGCAGATGCAAACTCAAATCGTGCCTGGGAAACTCAGCAAGATCCTGTCTCAAAAAAAAAAAAAAAAAAAGGATGGAGATGTAGCTCAGTGGTAGACAGCCCCTGGGTTCCAGTACCAATAAATAAAACAAAAATTTAAAAATTCCTCCAGAATGAATACAGACAAAATTAAAAGAGATAATAGTGAAGAATTTTCCAGTTAAATTGGAGGCATAAGTCTTTAGATTTAAGAGGCACAAATCCCAAGCAGTATAAATGAAAATTAATTTATATTCACATCCTTGCACAATTTAAAACACTTAAAACAAGGCAAGGGATATAGCTCAGTGGTAGAAGGCTTGCCTAACATGCATGAGGCCTTGGGTTCTACAACCTTACAGAATCATAGGCAGATGGCATGAGGAGAGAATTCACAGGGAAGGAAACTTAAAAACTAACTGTGTACGAAAAGACAATCTCACTGGTAATTAGGGAACCGCAAATTAAAACACGAGGTTACATTTTACATCTATCAAAGCCAGCAAAGGGCCATGTGTGGTGGTGCACACCTGTAAGGTCAGCACTTGGGAGCCTGAGGCAGGAGGATAGCCAGGAGTCTGAAGCCAGCCTTAGGCTACTTAGTGAGTTCAAGGCCAGCCTGGAATATACAGTGAGACACTGTTTTAACAAAT